TTGTACAAACTTTCTCTACTGGCTCTTGGACAAGTCGGAGTTCACGGCAGGGAACAAAACTAGTGGACTTTGTCCACTCCCTGCCACCCCCCCCAGTGAGCGTGGAGGTAAGTTGGCACCAGGACCGACCCATTACCCTGGTTCGGTGTTTCTTCCATGACGTGTCTTATAGCCCTGCAGTGGCTTTGAAGAGGCTCGAGGGCTGAGCTCTGCTTCCTTAACGTTCTGTATTTACGGGACTGTGGTGAAAGCCTGCTCCCGGGGTGGCGTGGTGAGGGCACTCGGCTCCTTCCAGCACTCCCTCCTGAGCCCCCATGTCCTGCGCTGCAGCAGCCCCTCTGATGGTGGGTTCTCTCCCTGGGCACAGGAGCGCTTCTGCCACATCCCGCTGAAGGAGGTGCAGAGGATGCGAACCCTGCGGCCTTTGGACGACTCCGGGGTGCCGGGCCTGGAAGTGAACTATGGCTCTGTGGATAATCCTCAGACCATGTGGTTTGAACTGCAACAGGTAAAGAGAGCCCTGAGCAGTGCCTGCTACTGGCCATGTCAATGAACAGAGTTATTGGAACGATATTTAACCCTGTCTCAGTTGGTTTCTCCCGCCCACTGGTGCCCACGCTTTGTCCAACTGAGACTGACTGCACTAGAGCCTTCCCCTAACGCAGAGATCTAGGGCCTCTGCGGACTACAGTTCCCAGCATCCACTGCTCCCTCTTGAGCCAAAGGGCATGGTTGGTTTTGTGCTGGGAACTGTACTCACCCAAGGGCATCCCTGTGTAGTAGAGACTGGCTGGCTAGAGCCACTCCGTGGCCCATCATGGGTCATGTCCCATCCAAAGTGGCCTGTTTCATTTAAAGATGAAATGTCTTTCCTCAACCTTTACCCTGGTTGTGATCCTCAGAGGTTTCCAGGACACAGCATCACCTTCCCTATCACTATCTTCAGCGCTCTCACATTTGATAGGAGAGCTCGCAGGCTTTTTGCTGGGCAAGACCAGCAGTCAGGCAGGCTCCTGCAGAGGGTGCAGCATGTGACACTGGGCCCTGGTTGGGGGAGGAAATGGCAGCTCCTAAAGCCTTGAACAGGAAAACTGCCTCCAAGTTAGTGATGGTTTTTCCTTGCGTAAGGATCAGGTTCAGGCCTGGAGCTGGCTCTCTGCCTAATGGATTGTATGAAATAAAAAGGAGAAGTTAGTTTAGTGTAGGGGTTATAATTCCAGCAGCAGGCTCTGGGGCGGCTAACCCTCTACGGGCTCATCTGCACAGGGATGCTAGGGTATGCCTATGCCAGAGATGGTCCCACCCTAGCATGCTACAGACAGACATGGAGCTGAGGCGGTGCCAGGAGCTAACCGCCCTGAGTACATCCCTCGGGTTTCAGGCAGGAATCAACTCGGGGCAGCTACCCTTCTATTTTTAGCACCTCCCGTGCTCAGGGTTAGCGAGGATTTGTCTGCCTGAGCTGCCACTTACACCCTACAGAGTACAGAGGAAGCGAGGGGATGAATTTGAAGTGCCCCAGCGACTCTGCACCGTCTCCCTGTGTGGATACTCGTAGTCCACAGTACGAGCTTAGCACGCTGAAGTGTATCCACACAGGGGGAGAGTGCAGAGTCGCTGGAGTGCCCCAGCTACTCAGGGCTCCCCCCAAGACAAGCCTGAAGTTTCACTTTTTGGAAGGCTAGAATTAGGACCCCTCATTCAGCTACCAACCTTGTAGTGATTCAGTGAATGTCCCCGTTCTTGCAGCAGCACAGAACAGCCATTCCCTGCCTCCCCCGGTTATAGTGGAATAAACAAATCCCTTAAGATTTATAGCCAGCGACCAGGGTCTAAGCGTTTCTCTTGTCACCTGGGTTACATGTTGGTTCTGAAGTACTGGGCAAGATCTTTAAAAGAGAGATCACAGGTGGCAATATGATTTTACCTAAGGGAAGTGGCATTGCAGGGGGCCTCTGGAAAGGGTTAAAATGGTTCCACACACCCCCTGCAAAACAGCAGCAGTTGCTTTGCCAAGAGAAGGCCTGGGGTTTAAGTCCAGCCCTGCTGGTTTAGCAGAGGTAGGTGGCTGGATGTAGCCTCTGTTGGTGTCAAATTTCCACCTTAGCAGAGGTGAGGAAGTGAAGGGGACGGGATGGGGCGGGGCTGTGGTGTTCAGGGTAAACAGGGAATTACTTCTACTGGGCTGTAATCTTGACAGGCCAAGGAACTGTACCATACGATCACAGTCATCATGCAGGAGGGAGAATCTCAGCCCTAGAGACCCAGGCTGGAAGACAGCTAAGCAGAACAAGGCTCTCCTCAGCTTGGACAGCTTATCAAGCACCCCTCACTCTGGCCTGTGGCAGGGCAAGCCCCATCCACCATCCTGTTCTCCAGCCACCTTGTTCTCCAGCACACTCCCCTCTCCTGCTTTCCAAGGCTGCCACTGCCTTGACAGGCTGTCGTCCAAGCTGTTTGGTCACCTTACTTCTGCACCACCACGCGCCAGAACCTGAACCTCCACCATAGTGCTGCTCCTCATCCCTTTCTGCCCCAGGCTTGGTTCGCACGTCACGCCCATTCACAGCGTCCTTTGGAGCTGCACGGTCTCCCCAGCCAGAGCAGAGCACACAATGGAACAAGGCCCTGATCTTTCACAAACTGCGACAAGCAGGTGGGGAGGGGCAGCCCAGGGACACAAGATACTGCAGTCCTTTTTTGCACAAACAATAAACTCACACATGACGGCAGCAGCAGGGGAGTCTGGTACTTACTTGCCAGAGATTTTCCATCACCAAGGAAAAGAAAGGGCTGTGATACGACTCCATTTGCTGGCATTAAATTCCTGAGAGCACCTCTTATCTTAATGTCAAAGAACTGCCACCAGTATCACAGAGCAGGTCAGTGAGTGTTAATGTGCAATTACCATGTGTGCCAATGGTAAGAACGTTGACTGCTACTCAATTTCTTACTGACAGTCTGTTTCTTTTTCCTTCTAATCTAAAGACCTCCGTCTGACCATACCGCTGTATATTTAAATGACTACTTGCCCAGCAAACTAAGATACAAATTGCCCTCCCTAACAGAGGGGGGGAAAAAAATCAGAATGTAAAAATAAATCCTTAATTTATTTTATTACTATACATCTCCAGCTGGGGGAGAGGTGTTTACACTACTGTGGGGGAAAAAAAAAAATCAATGAAATATTTAATAACAATACATTATTAAAGTCTCGCTTCCTTCCAGTTTTTGGAGCTATGAAAATAAAACCGTTGGCTTCCATGTGCACTAGGCAAAGAGGCTGTTCTGTTAGTGGGGGCTCAGGGGCACTTCTGGGGGGGTTTGAAAAGCACGAGCAGGTTGGGAATGAACACGGCCCCTTGGGCCGGCTGTTGAAAGCCAGCCTCGATGCTTGATGCGTGAACATTGGCTCCCCACTAGGAATTCACTGGGGATAATGTGATGTGAATTGGGGAAGGCAGCAGTTCCTGGGAGCCAAGTGTCCACACTGTAACTAACTCCAATGACTACATGGGCACAGAGGCTAAAAGGCCTTCCTTGCTAGTGCTGATGGCTCCCACTTTGAGCCATGAACGAATCTTGCACTCTAGCTGCCCATGCTCCAGCTGTTTGCCAGGGGCATGACAACCTCTTGCAGGGTGGGAAGGAAGGAAGGGTTAGGAAAGAGAGCCTCATCTGGAGAGTGCTATAGTGCAGGGTCGTTCTGTCCCCAGCAGCCCATGTGCTAAGAGGATCCACTGCTCTGTCAGAGGGCTTAAATGGCTTTCTGCTTCATTATGTAACAGAGCTGGGACTAGAAGCCAGGAGTTCTGTTGGCTGGCCCTCTCCCTAAGCAACGTATAACATTCACTATTAAATATAGCACAGTATAAAGTATAACATTAACCATTAGCTGAAACAAAAACAAAACCATCAGGACAATTCAACCTTCACCTTTGAATTGGCCCCAGCTGCTTTAGATTTGTTGCCTGTACATTCTCTGTCACCCACACAGGCAGGAGACAGCTCTAACTGAAACTGGCCCCACCCTCCCTTCTCCCAGGGCACTGTGAGGAAGAGAAACACTGCAATTGACAGCAGAGGGTCTAACGCCCTTTGCCAGTTCTCTTGTGAGAAACCTATTAATCCCCCTCACGCACCCCAGGGGGTGCCCTATGTGTTTCCCGGCTGGACCCACTAGTCAGCATGGAAGGAGGCAGATTCTCCTACCCCTTTCAGCTCTCATGGGAGGTACATAACACGGAACAAAAGCAAACCACCAGGATCCCACGGACTGACAAGCTACGGACCGAGTACCTCTGAGCGCTAAAGGTAGGTAGACAACACAACAACCCCAGTGCTGGGAAGTCTTGGCTAAGCACAGGAAGGCAATCCTCTACTCCCGGGAAGAGTTCCAGGGGATTTTTAATGGCAATGCAAAGCAGAGGCCAGATGATTTTATGGCCGCTTCTGAAAGATGCTAGTGCACAATAATAACAGCATGTAAAGTACTTCCCTTACTGCAGCACAAAAGGCTGCCATGCGACCACGCAGTTCTGGAGCATCGGGGTGTTGAAAGCCACTACTTAGCCAAGTCCCGCATGCTGCTGCAGCTCAAGCAGCAAGGGCCCAGGTAAAAGCAGAAATATCTGACACACAATGCACAGCTCACTCATTGTCTGTCCTACACCGCCCCTCAAAAACTAACTGGAGCTAGAGCTGCTGGAAATTCAGGCTAGCTGCCAATGGAGGCTGGCTCTTAAAGACGTCTGCACAGAGATTCCAGCTAGCAGCTAATTACTTCTAAGGGAAGAGAAGAATTGGGCGTTCCAAACACTATTGCCCATTCCTCGCCACCAGCTCCTAACATTCAGTTCATCAGTTGGTTGTTCAAGGGACAAGTGACTCTGCTGTTACCCAGGCGTTCACAGTGCAATGCTCCGTGTGTGCTCAGTAAGGTAACCAGGAGCTGCTGAGCACATCCCATGTAATGAAACAGCAGGAACTAGGCAAAGAGAGCCCATCGTAACTGTGACGTTCAGTTTATTGTCAGTTTACCATGCACCCTTCGGTAACATATAAAAGCCCAGTTTCCCCGAGTACAAGCTATTCAGAAGACTGTTCCATTCCTGGCTTCTGAGATTGCAGGTTGATCCTGCAGCAGGACTAATGCCAGCAAGGCCAGTATCTTCTCTAGGCAGAGAGCCAAGGCAGAGCCCCGCAAAAACTACATGTAAAAAACAATCCTGGGCACACTAGGGTCATGTTATGACTCACTGACTCCCTCCAGTTCAGGCTCTCGCATAAATATAGCAGCAGATGCACCACAGCTACTGGGTCTACGAGTGTCACAGCACCGGAAGGGGGGGGGGGTAATTGGCTGTACCAGCAGCAGCCTCCTCTGTCCTAAGTCCCTAGTTTAGGCACAGTGAGGGGATATGGCATCAGGGGGCTATAAGCAAATACTAGGGAAGTGCATCAACTTTGGTGCTGCCCCCTTATAACGCACAACCAATGGGGGGTGGGGGACGACGACAAGAGAGCCTCCAGTCTGTCCAGGCTAAGGCACTAATGCCCATGCCAGTTAAAGAACACACAGAGTTGGCCAGAGTAAAACCAAAATTCAGGGTGTGAGTTTTTTTGTTTTTTTTTAAATAAAGCCTGCAGGGGGTCCCCAGCTTTGGGAAAGGAGACGCTGCACGTCCCATCGTCTAAACCTAAACATTTTTTCAAAATAAACTATCCAGTCTAGGAACTTAACCATCAGCTCCCATCATACAAACCCTGAGCAAAGCATGGGCATTTGAATGTGTTTTCAGTGTAAGGCTTCTATTGGTAACATTTAAATAAAAAGACAAGGGGGGGGGTGAGAGGGAGGCTCAGAGACACTTGGGGGGAAAAGCAGGATTCACACCCAACTTGGAATCAGAGTCTGCAATTCTAAGCCCTTCTCAGCCAGCAGCAGGATGCACCACAGCCCAGCTGAGAGAGGCCACAGAGCTATGCAGCCTTGACACACACCAGACCTCTTAGCAAGGGCTGTTGAAGGACTTCATCGTCCCTTAGGCACCAGAGGAGCTCCACAGACAAATTCCCAGGGATCACCTCCCTAGAGATGTTCTCAAGGCCACACTCATGGCACAGATGCCGTGGAGAACAAGCAGCAACATGAATGGAAAACTCCCATGTCTCCGTGAGCCTTCAATTCCACTGACTGCAGCCGGGAATGGAAATAGCTGGAGAACCGGCATCATGTTTCCGAGCTGGGCAGCGCTTGCCAGTCTGTCTCATTTTCACACCTGACTCGGGTTTTGAAAAACTCCTTGATGAGTCTCTGTGCTTCTTCTTTCACTGCAAAGAGAGGGGACATCCCCTTTGAGGAGACTCTGGCAGAGTCTACAGCCCCCCCAGCCCAGGCCATTTAGCACCAGTATATCCCCAGCTGTCTACATGACACCACCCCACAGTCACATCCCCCAGGTGGCGACTCACCAGCCTTGCGGACAGGATTCTTCTCCTCAGTCAGTAAGTGGGAGAGGTGTCGGGCAAATCCCTTGAATAGTTCCTGCAGCGTAGAGAAATCAAAGCGCAGAGCGAAGATTACCCATGGCTGCAGTCACCCTCTCATCACACAATCTGTGTAGGTTTGCATGCCTCTACACAGCCTCTAGCCCCATCGGGCCAGAACAGAAACAATTGTTATTTGTATTACAGTAGTGCTTAATGTTCACAAGTGAGCTCGGAGTCCCGTTGTGCTAGGCACTGTACATATGTGGAGTAAGAGAGAGTCCCTGCCCTGAGCCACTCAGGGTAGAAACAGCCAAGGGCTGAATTTGCTTTCAGTTCCCAGCTCAGTGTGATCCCCGTAGCACCGTGGCAGTCAGGAACTGCAGTCACCACCCACCACTCCTCTCCAGAACAGGTCTCACTTCTTGGGTCACTAAGGCAGGTGGGGACACACCCTACCACCAAGTAGCAGCAAGACCCTGTGGTTAAATATGAACACCCAACAGCATCATGCACCCCTCACCCCATGTCCCAAATGGCCTTAGGAGACACAGCTCTGGTCTCCTCCTGATGGAGAAAGCTGTTGTCTGTGCCCTACCTTGGAAGCAAATTTACCACCCTTGTAGAAAGGGGTCAAGTATTTGACGACAATATCTGCTGTCTCTTTAAGGGACACGCCTTTGGTCGCTGGCTGGATGGTCTTGGTAGTTCCTTCTTTATCAACCTGTGACAAACTCGGATCAAAAGTCACCTTCTTCTTCACTGGGCCCATGCCTTTGCCCTCTGGTTGTGACAGGATGGAAGATGCTGCCGCCCGCAGCCTCTTCGTCACAGGGCTCTCCAGATCCTAGACCAGCGCGAAGAGGAGCAGCCGTTCACGCAGCAGTTTCAGACTCTTAGGCCCAAGCTGCCATGTGAGGCAGAAACATCCCCATGCTACCCAGCAAGCTGCTCCCATAGAGAATTTCATGCAGGAAAACATTTAGCCAGCTCAGTCCCCTGGAGGCCGGCCCTGGGCTAGTCACGGGGAAGGTACTCGAGGCATTAATCTCAGCAGCCCCGCTGTTCCTGTCACACAGGAAAGGGGCCTTAGAAGAAATCCTGTGGGATTCACCTCCCCAGAAATTGCTGTGTCTAAGTGCTTGGAGGAAAGAGGGATGGGGAAATCTTCTTGAATACCCACTGGGAAAACCCCTTGGGGTGAACCTAGCTAGACTCTGCAGGAAACCAGGCCTTGAATAGATCCACAAGGGCAATTCGCTCTGCTTTTGAGTTAAACAGTTAGTGCCCCACTCAAATTCACCCCAAGCATGGGGATGGTGCTGCAGCCAAGAGAGCCAGGTCTCGGGGCGGTCACAGATGTCAAACCCTGGGCTGGGGCTGCAAGTCAGGGAGCTCTGCCCTTGCTACGTGACCACCCAGTACTGACTGGTCCATAGGGTCAGCTTTGGCTGCTGCCGTCAACTGATAAAGCATCACTTTGCTATCTGTAACGGAGGGGTCAGCACCGCACTTTCATTGGGCAATGGTAATTACCAGGTAGGTATCACTGTCTACATCTCTCAGAGGAGGAAGGTGACACAGAGGTGATGGGCCCGACTGCCAGATGTGCTGAGCACCCGCAACTTCCACAGATTTCAGTCAGAGCTGTGGGTGCTCAGCACCTCCGAGAACCAGGCCACAAGTGCCTTGCCTGAGTCACGCTGGGCATCAGTGGCAGAGCCGGGCCTAGATCCCAGGCCTAGTGCAGGCTCCCACACAGACCATATTGCTGCTCTCTGCTGGGGTGGGGACTGGACTACACCTGGATAACTGATATTGCCAGGTGAGGTTTACACCAGGCATGGCATTTCCAGAGAGAAGCTGGGCACAAAGCTGAGCAGACCGAGGTGAGGAAAATGAAATTCAGGAAGGTCTCACCTCATCTGATTCTGGCCTCTTCCTGCCTTGACGTTCCCCTGTGCAGGTTGTTTCGATTTCTATACCAGCCTCATCACAGCTGAGGATGGAGGGAAAGAACAAGATAATTTCTTCTGGTTTGATTATTCAACAACAGGGACTTGCTATGAGATGAAGACTTCACCAGGCTGATATTTAGCGAGTGGCAGAGATTGCAGTAAAGCGTGAACGAGACGCCCTGCCCAGACCAGCTCAGTTATAACACTGATTAAATACTATCATGGCAGCTCTCCATCAATGCAGCACAAAGGGCTGCCTGTGTAATTAGCTAACGAGACACCACTGTGGGATGGACTGGGCAAAGCAGGAAAGAATGGGGCAGGACCTCAGGAGCTCTCACCTTGGTTTTGTCTGACCATCTAATCCTGCTTGTGTGGCTTCAGATCCAGGGTCGTGTTTCGACTCCAAGTCCTGACTTCTCTCAGTCAGTGCTTCCTTCATCTTCCTTGACTCATGGGCTTCCATCTGGGGTTGCCCGGCCATAGCGCCTCCTGAGACATCTTCATTTTCCTGAGGTTCCTCTTTCTCCTGACATTCTCTTTGAGAAAGAGACTGAGCTAGCTCACTCACAGGACAATCGTCTTCCTCTACTGTGACACATCCTGAGGTTTTAAGTCCAGCTTTGGTGAGAGAGAAGAATTTGGAAATGTTCTGGGATTCTTTTCTGGCTGCTTCTGCTAGCAGCTGTTGCTTCTTGGTGAGCTTTGCCTTCTTGGTAGGGCTATCCCACAGGGAGGCATCTGCATCTGGACTAGGTTGCTGTCCCTTCTTGTCATGGGCCTGCACTGCTTCCACAGCACTTTTGTGTACTACTTTGGCCACCCTGTCTTTGCTCTTGACAGCAGAGACTCTGGCCATTTCTGAATCACATTCGCGATCACCTTGCCCATTTGGACTATCTACTTCCCTCTCCACAGGCGTCGCATCACTCTCCTCCTTTGTCTTCAGCAGTTCGGCCGCAGTCTGGAACAAGCTGGAACTCTTTCGAAACCCAGCTCCTATCCGCTTGGGTTTAAACTACAAAGAGAAGGGAAGGAGACAGAGGGAGGGGATTAGAGGGTTACAAAGGCATTGCCAAGGAAGTTGTCTCCCTGTTTACACGCCCCCCCGGGACACATGAAATGGAGACTTGGTTCCTTCCATTACGTGCACATGGTTTGTCACAGGAGGGTTATTCAGAAGTCAATGGAGATGGCTTAATTTTGACTTGTGAATTTATGGCTGGTGAAAGGTACTGTCTGTCAGAGTTCAAGGAGGCAGTAGGCAGAGCCACCAGCCTAACGGCCTGCACCCTCAATTGAAGTAGGGGCCACATGACCCAGAAAAGAAGTGATTCCCTGGAGCCAAACAATGATAAAACTGGAGGACAAAGGTGCAAAACAAGGGAACTGGATGGGCACACCGAGCAGAGAACACCGGACAATGCCCACTGCTCTGCAAAGGAGACCAAGACATCAGTGGATGCTGCCCAGAGGCAAGAAATGCCCAGGGGATGGAAGAAGACCCCTCCAGTCACAGAGAACCTCCCTGCTGAGCTTGGAATGGATGGCCATCTTGGCCAGAGCCAGGAGGAGGCTGATGAGACATCATGGGGCCATGGATGGGATGGGTATATAGGAGATGGGGGACAAACACAGCCAGAACCTCAGCAGGAGGCTCTGGAGGAGCTGGGAGAGGGGCTGCACTGGGGCATACTGCAGGCAGCTGGGTGCCACGCTCTCCCTCTTGTGACACAAGAGAGAGGTATTGGGGTCATCCATGAACCACACCAGCCATGTGCCCTTGCTTACAGCAATGTGCAGGAGCTGCCAACGAATGGGAAAGAAGCCAGGTTCGCAGCCCTGGCCAGCTGAGCTCCCCACAGCACAGGAAGCAGCAGGAAGTATTTCCCCTCCCAAAGTGCTTCACCCTGACCTGGAGGAATCACCCCCCTGGCTGAGGGATAGTTCAGTCCAGCCTTACACTCTCCGACTTCCTGCAGCCTCTCTGCTGAGGCTGCCAACAAAGGTGTAGGCAGTACCAAGAGTGGTTTTTGCAACGTGAGCACTTGTTCGCTGTACTGAGCCCAGCAAACCCACTTCACAGAGCTATGAAAAGCCATCAGATGGTAACAGCTTTCATCCACCACCGTGCGGGGCTGGGCCTGGCAGTGGGAGAGGAGAGGGATTAGCGATGGGTAGCGAGCTACAGAGCTTAAGCCAGCCAGTCCAGTGTTGCTGAATGGAGTCTGCCAATGACTGCTAGGTCAAGTGTTGGATCTGCCAGCTGTGATGGTGCCATTCTGTAGCACGCTCCTTTCAGGGAGCACACACTGTCTAAAACCAGAAGCAGACACATCCGAGCAGCCATGACTGCACAGTAAGGGGCACAGGGGTGGAGGAAAGCTGAAGCCCCAGAATACGGGGACGGGCAGCATGCTTGGTTGAGCAATGACAAGTTAGATAGGAGGGGAGCCTCTTCGGCAAAATACAGTCTGAAAATAAATTACGTTTATGATAAGCAGGAGATCCAGCATGACAAGGGGGTCGAGCTATCCTCACCACAAGAGCACCATGTGCAGGAGGAGCAGGATGGGAGGGAAAACGTTCCACCACAAACACTCAGCCAAAACTAAGCAACAACCTTGCAAAGAACCATACCCCCAAACCCATCGGTCACCTTTTCCTCTTTGCCCAGCTTCACCTCAAGCACATTTTACAGCCTAGCCAAAACCTGCCTGGGCCGGTTTCTAGATCAAACGTTCAGCGTTTTCATACAGCCAGCTGGGCACGTCCTATTTTACATAGCCATAGTACTTCCAAGCAACAGGCTTTGCAATCCCCGTCATCGTTCCGTGCAGCAGCCACCTGTACTCACCGAATAGATTTGGGATGCAGGGAGAAAGCCATCTTCAGCTGCGGGTTCAGACTTCGTCCTGGGGCTGCCGCCACCGCCACCAGCTCCTGACCCAGATGCAGGATACAGCTCCCCTTCTTTCGAGGCTTTGTTGATCTCCGCTACCTTGGGTTGGAAGAGAAGAAGAACATTGCCCAATGGCGGAGTCTTTACGTCTCCCTCTTCCTCAGCATGCATCGCAATCCTCACTGGCAAAGAGCAGGTCTCCACCAAGGGCTGCTCCTGCCTTACGGCCATGAATTACCCCAGGATGGCTCGAGCCAACTGCCTTGCCCAACTCAGGATATTTCTACCATGTGATGATGGTGCAACCACAGGGTGGTTGGGGCAACCCCCCGCCCTTTTTATTTTTAAGGCTAGGTTGCTCTCCAATGGCTGGAGACGTTTTTTTACAGCACTTCATGGATGTTCACTGAGATGGGAAGGGCCCCAGGTGGATTTCTGATCAACAGCTGGACTGCAGCCAACAGGGAGGGAGAATCTAGTGAGATAAACGCTCCTCCTGGAAGGGATGCCAGGAAGAAACAGCCTGAGGGAGGTAAGCAGGGCAGAGCAAGAGCTGTAACACACGGCGGGAACACGCCCCTTGAGTCTAACACATACCATGCTCAAGGGCTAAGGCAGTGGTGACACCAGGAACGGGAGGGAGCGGCTCCCCGCCCCTCCTCCACCCCCCCCCCCAAGCACCCTACCTTCTTTAGCACATTTGCCTTGTACAAGTTGGACATTTTGCTGGTTCTGAAAGCCTCATACTCCATCTCCACGGCACAGGCGGGAGGGTCTGACCTGCAACACACACTGGGGTCAGTTCAGGCAGGACACTGCTCTCCACTTGAGAAAGGAGTGCTCATGTTGGTGAAGTGTCTCCTGCAAGGGTGAAGAATTCGCATCCTTGGGGTCAGGGTCTGGGTTGGGTGAGGGCTGGGATTTAAGCCTAAATGTGTAAAAACTGGAGGTGGTGGTCAAGGGGCCGTTTTAGTGCCTGGCCGGGGCATAGCAGATTTACCTCAAAGCACAACTCTCTCCTCTTGCACATCTGGAGATTCTCTGGTTTGTGTGGGTCTGCATGGACTTTGTGTAATACGCTCTCCCCCTCTGGTGGGGCAAAGGGGAACAGCAAGCCCTGGAATCACCATAAATGGAGCTGGTGGGACTAGAACCCAGGAGGCTCGGCACACTTTCAGGGGGGCTTGGTGATGCTCTGTGGAGCTGAACTCAGCTGGGGGGCCCAGCAAGGAGATATGAATGGGGATGGAGGGAAGAGCACTGCATGTCAGGCTTCTCGCAGAGCCCCAGAGGTGATTCACTGACAAGGATGATCATTGCACACAATGATCTTGCTCAGAGCAAGGAGAGCCCTGCTATCAAGACCTCCTCTCTCTACCCCTTCCTGTGCCTTGTTTAATACCCATGTTCTGTCGGGGCTGCCTTCTGGTTGCTGCTCAGAGCTTCTACCAACATCTTCAAGCAGTGTTCTCGGGCCTAAAACCAAAGGAGAGAGAGAGGAGATCCTCTTGCAGGAATGACACTGCCTTTCTCCCCCACCCCCTGAATGGACAGGAAGGAGCAGGCAGCATCTCTGGCCTGTCTCAGATGAAAATTACTAGCAGGAGGGTGAATTCACGCAGGCCTTTCCTTACCTTGACCGTGAGTTTGGAGATTTTCCGGCTGGCGGCATCTTTCAGGGGGCAGCCTGCATCTACCAGAGAAGTGATGTTTTAAAGAGATGCTCTCCACCATTCCTTGCCATACCTCCCCACCACTCTTACCGGTCTTGATAAGTTCAAGAACAGGAGGAAGCTGAGGTTAGAGTTCACCGAGGTGAATATGTCTGTGTCACAAGCACAAGACTTGCTGCTCGTCAAAGAGCTCTGTCCCAGCGAGCCCCTTTCAGGGCCTTCAATTCTCAGAAAAAACAACCTCATTCGGGGGGAGATGGGGAATGGGGGGAGTTGAGCAGAGCAACATATTCTGTAGAGCAGTGGGTTTCAACCAGGGGTACGTGTACTCCTGGGGGTACTTAGCCATCTTCTAGGGGGTATATCAACTCCTCTATATATTTGCCTAGGTTTACAAGAGGCTCCATAAAAAGCACTAGTAAGTCAGTACAAACTAAAATTTCATAGACAATTATTTGTTTATACTGCTCTATAGACTATACACTGAAATGTAAGTACAATATTTATATTCCAACTGATTTATTTTATAGTTATATGGTAAAAATGAGAGTCAGCAATTTGTCAGTAACAGTGTGCTGTGACATTTGTGTGTCTCATTTTCTAAGTTTTTCAGTGAGGTGAAACTTGAGGGAACCCAAGACAAATCAGACTCTTTAGAGCGGTAGAATAATCTTGAAAGGCTGAGAGCCATTGCTGTAGGGCACCCCTTTGGCCTGTAGCAAGAATTCTGTGCTCAGGTTTGACACAGTGGCCAGAACTGGGATATTTAAACGTGGCACAAAATTAGAGAGGCTGAAAGCCCAGATCAAAAGGTGTCCCTCTGGGGCAGGCTGTATCAGAAAGATGCAATCTAAACTTGATCTGAACAACCTCAGATTTGGGCTTAGACCGACCTCTTCTAGCAAGGAGTTCCACAGCCAGGGACCCACTGCTCTGGTCCTGGTGCCCAACAGTTGGAGCGTGGGTTGATTCAGCGGTGTCCTCTTTGTGGAACATCCAGCCACAGGGGAGGACTAAGTTGCATTCTTTGTTATTCCCAGATATTGATGTTACGTAAGGCAACCAGGTTTTTCGCAGGAGTGGGTGGGTGAGATTCTGTGGCCTGCGTTGTGCAGGAGGTCAGACTAGATGATCATAATGGTCCCTTCTGACCTTAGTATCTATGAACCACAGTGTTCCCCTTCCCCATGGAACTCTCTCACTGATCGAGACCATCTGGTAAAACTATAAAGCAATGGAGAGATCTACCTGGAGGGACAAAGTCGTCTTTTTCTGGTTCTTTGCCCTGCAGGAAAAGAGAGAGAGAGAGAGAGAGAGAGGTCAAACATTTCCATCATGAGCAACATATATGAAGGACTACAGAGAACACGAGAGACTCTATACGCAGCTCCTACCACCTTTTCCAGGAAGGATGATGCCAAAATTATAGAGGTGTGGGAAAGGCAGCAAAAAGGACAGAAGAGACTGGGGAGCAGGTAAGGGTTGAAATGCAAAGGCCAGAGGGGCTGATTGAGGCCAGTCAAATATTAGATATGTTAAAGCAGACAGGATCCCCTTGACTAGAGTAGGGCAGGGGCCAGCTCGTAAATAACATCAAGGAGATTTTCTTCACATAAATGGGAAACGGGAAGGGGGATCAAACCCATGTAGTATAGGCAACAGTTGGAACAATTTATAGAAACCAGATCAAGCAGCAGCAAGGCGCAAGGGTGGATGCAGCAACAGCTACATTACGGAGCTGAGGACAATACGGACACAGTACTGCAACAGCGATGCTAGTAGGAAATGCAGTTTAATGGTCAGAGCAGAAGACTATATGGGGCGTCTACATGAACAATTTGTTTGCAGCAAGCTGGGATGTGCATCTACTCCGCACTAGCCTGAAAACGTCCCCAGGGACCCTGCTGCAATGCATTAGCAGTTCATTAATGTGCTCTGAGCTCATCCCATTTCAGAGAGGGCTAGATCAAAGCGCATCAATGAACTGTTAATGCATGTCAGCAGGGTCCACACAGTTAGTTAGTCCGTGGCAGGCTAGTGTGGGGCAGATTCACACCCCAGCTTGTTGGGAACTAGCTGTTTGCGTAGACAAGCCCTAGGAGATAGGACTGCTAGATTCTATTTCCAGCACTGGCATTGCTCACTGAGACACCCTGGGCTAGTCACTTAACCTCTCCATGCCTTATTACACCATGCTGCAGATGGGCCAGAGTAATGCTTACCTGTCCTCACAGTGGTGGGGTGAGGCTATATTCGTTCGTGTTAAAGCACTGAGATCTGGGGCTGAAAAGCTCCATAGGAGGATGACGTATTATCATTATGATGCTAGAGGTTCAGAGGGTTAAATATAGGTAAGTCTACTGGTGAGTTTCCGAGTTCATCCCCCTGCTCCAGTAACGGTCATTAAATCCCCTGTGGGGAGATGGGTGGGGGCAGGACATGGAGGACAGGAGTTGAGGGAGGGAAGGGGGAAGAATGAGGGACAGATGGTGTCATTTCTCTGCACTGTTGTTTTTTATCTTGGCAGCCTCTCTTTATCTGTCTGTGCTGGGGTTTATCCTGCAGGGCAGAGACACAGGCTGCTGTACTTTCCACTTCTTCCTGGAGCAGAAATGCAGGCTTCAAGTTTATCAGACACTTATCACCTAGCTGGATGTAAAGTTACTATTCACTCAATTATCTGAACCCCGCGGACTGATCAGAGACCCTGAGCTTTTGGGGTTTTAAAATTACAGGCCTTGAGAGAAGTTTGAAGAGGGCCCAGCACAATTATTTTCCAAAAAAGGTTCCATCTATTATATGTAACAAGCTAGTTCCCTTTATGCCAGTCTCCATTTACAAGAATCCCATCACTCCCCAAGATCCTTCACCTTTTTCCATGCAATAAGTTGTAGAGGGACAGGAGCCATCAACAATCTTCATAGCACATCCTCCCTCTACTCTGCCCCTTACCAATGGAGAGATCTCCATCTGCAAATCGGTCGGAGGGCCAGCTGGAGATGCATCCACCATCCAGCCCTCTGCACCCCCAGCCTCTGGAGGAATCCTTAGAGGACTCAGATTGCGCTAAGTTTTCTGCGGAGGTCACTTTGCACTGTGGAATGTTAATGGAAACATTTCCAGGAAGCAGGAGGAATAGTCAGGTGGCTCCTGAATCTGAGCAGATGGCTCTGACTTTTGGTGCAGCTCCAAGGAAGATCAGAGGGACTGAGGTGGGAGGTGGAAAACACCCCCCAGACAGAATGGCTTCAGGACAAATTAGTTCAGGAAACTGTAGAGAGTCTTCCTCCTCAGAGCACCCCATTCCACAGAAAAACTGGCATGAGAGAATCTGGTCCAGAGTTTGGAGACAAGGCCTGTATATCTGAATTTAGTAAAACTAGAGAGGCCTATGCTAGCTCTCAGATTTACAGACTTCTGGTTCTCATTTGCCAACATGTCCATTCGATAAAGCCTTTCTGGGTGATCACTACACCATTGATCGTCCTGCTGCTAGTCACAGGAAGCTGCTATGTCTGCAGTAGAGGCAGGTACACTGCACAGAGGCCAGAAGCCCTCGGATCTCTTAGAGAAGGGATGTCAACTCACTTTACGCAGATTCATCTGCTTTTTGTAGAAGTTGTACCACTCCCGTTTCCGATTTTCCTCACTGGCTTCATCCCCACTCCCACGGTTTTCTTCGTCATACCTGGATTAGAAGGCAGGAGAGTTAGGAGAGGAATACAAATTCTTGCAGAGGGAGCAATAGCTGGTCTAAAGGCCTTAGAAAACCTGAATCACATCAGGAAGGTGTTTTCTAATTGACTTTTAGGAACACACCTTAAGAGCTCAGTTCTGCCACCCTTAATCAAGTTGAGCAGTACTTCCTCAACTAAGAGTCCACTAAAATCAACACAGTGAGTAAGGTTGGCATAGCTGGGTCCTCAGTGACCACTACAGCTTTGAACAGAAGGTACAGCCAAGCAGCACAAAATCAGTGAAGTAGGTAGCAAGCAGTGCCCTATGTTAAAGCAGGTTTCAGAGTAGCAGCCGTGTTAGTCTGTATTCGCAAAAAGAAAAGGAGTACTTGTGGCACCGTAGAGACTAACAAATTTAGTTGTTGAAGTGAGCTGTAGCTCACAAAAGCTTATGCTCAGATAAATTTTAGTCTCTAAGGTGCCACAAGTCCGCCTGTTCTTTTTATGTTAAAGCAATAGCCTTTGTCTTTGGAGTCCTGGGTTCCAATACAGTAACTCCTCACTTAACGTCGTTTCATTGTTACCTTGCTGATCAATTAGAGAACATGCTCGTTTAAAGTTGCTCCCTTATAATGTTGTTTGGCAGCCACCTGCTTTATCCACTGCTTGCAGGAAGAGCAGCCTGTTGGAGTGAGCTGGGGGGGGGCTTGGAACCAGGGTGGACCGGCAGCCCCCCTACCAGCTCCCCGCTCCGCTAAGTTCCCTGTGCAGCAGCCGCCCAGCAGGCTACCATTTGCCGGGTAGTCCAGCTGTCCCACCCCCACTGCCGTGTGCTGCTCCTGCCCTCTGCCCTGGAGCTGCTCCCGGGAGCCTCCTGCTTGCTCTGCGGGGGGGATGGGGGGAGAAGGGGGCAGAGGTGTGCTAATGTCAGGGTGTCCCCCTCCCCCCACTCCTGTACCTCATCTCCACAGAGCACAGGGGGACATGATAGGGCTCAGGATGGAGGGAGCTTGCTATCAGCAGCTGCTGTCTCAACTTGCTGATCTACTTAAAAAGGCAATGTACTTAGAATGGGGTCAGCATACTTAAAGGGGCAATGCGCATCTCTCTCACACACAGGGTGTGTCTCTGTCTCTCTCTGCCATGCTGTCTCCCCTCCCTCCATTCATGCTGCCTTGTAGGGTGTGACGCTACATTAACAACGTGTTAATCCTTGAGGGCTCAGCCGAGTGCTAGCAGTAAGGCATTCCCTGGGAAATATCCCACCCTGTGACTTCACCACCTTAACCAAGCTTCACAATCATCGTTGCTGTGTATTTGTTTAAAACTTATACTGTGTGTGTGTGTGTGTGTGTGTGTGTGTGTGTGTGTGTATCTCTCTCTCTATATATATATAGATAGATAGATAGATATAAAAATATAGTCTTTTGTCTGGCAAAAAAATTTTCCCTGGAACCTACCCCACCCCAATTTACATTAATTCTTATGGGGAAATTGGATTAGCGTAACATTGTTTTGCTTAAAGTAGCATTTTTCAGGAACTTAACTACAACATTAAGCGAGGAGTTACCGTACAGCTCAGGGTCACTAGTAATTTGGCCTCATCCCACTGCCAGTGTCATCTGATGAATGAAGCTACCAATCTGTGTCAACCTGTAGAAGCAGAAGGCTAGAACGGCAGTCAGTGCTGCAGATCATGACAGAGCTGTATAGGTAGAAGTGTGCAGAGAAGCTTGCACCGTGTCTGACCACATGATGGCTGTAGCCCAGCAATGCTAACAGCCTTTTGCTTTCAAACACAAAATCCCCATGCAAAATAGGAGTTACAGATTGGGGAAAAATTAATAAATTATTATTATTATTATAATTTATTATTAATACCACAACCACCACCATCCCACATGTGTATAGCACCATCATCCAAGTGTGCTAAGCACTATATAAATTTAATCACACTTCCCAACACCCATCTCCGTTTTACAGATAAGGGGAAACGGAGACACAGAGGTTAAGCAACTTGCCCTAGGTTAGTGAGTCAGTGCTAGGACTAGAATCCAGGAGAAGTCTGGAGCTAGCCACTTGATTACAGTCTCTCTAAAGTCTAGTTCCTCCGTCTCCCAGCTCAGATGCAAAATTTAGGTCAGGTCCTTGAACCAGCTACATTCTGTGGGATCATCAATTGTTCTAGATCAGGCTTCGGCAACCTTTCAGAAGTGGTGTGCCGAGTCTTCATTTATTCACGCTAATTTAAGGTTTTGCGTGCCAGTAATACATTTTAATGCTTTTAGAAGGTCTCTTTCTATAAGTCTAGACTATATAACTAAACTATTGTTGTATGTAAAGTAAATAAGGCTTTTAAAATGTTTAAGAAACTTTATTTAAAATAAAATTAAAATGCAGAGCCCCTGGACCAGTGGCCAGGACCCGGGCAGTGTGAGTGCCACTGAAAATCAGCTCGCGTGGCGCCTTTGGCATGTGTGCTATAGGTTGCCTACCCCTGGTCTAGATGATCTGAGGACAGCTTCTGGCTCCCAGGGATATGAATCTGATTGAGCCAGCCACAGCGTATGGAAAAAAGTTCCTGGCCTTGAGGCCATAAGTGAGAGGAAAATACTACACAGAAATATCTGCTGAAATTAGGAGCAGCTAGGCTGGCAGCAGGGCAGTCCAAAGAGGAGGAGCTCCACCCTCCCCAGCAGAACACGCCGCAGTCTCTGGGAGGCTCAGCAATCAAATCCGAACCTGCTAAAGCCTCCAGAGCCTCTCCTCCCTCCTTCATATAGCTCTGGGTCATAGGTGTCCCGAGAGGAACCTGTGGGTCTAATGCAGGTTCTGCTCCAGCTGTTGCTGATAAGCTCCAGGGAATCCAGCTGCTTTTTCACTGCTCCTGAGTTCTTGCAGTAATCACAGCACTTGTTACAAGGGGGGGTGACATCTCCAAAGTACTTTGCTATGGCAGCATGGCGACATCTAGGAGACGAGAGAAAGAAGGTAACAATGACATGCTGATGGGAGAACAATTACTGCAAGGGGGAGGTAAAGTATGGGGGGGCAGGGAAGGGGTGAAAGCAGTCTCGGAAGATACCTAATACTGCAGATAAAATCTGCAACATGGGGTGGGGTGGGGAGGGGAGGGGAGAAGAGGATCACCACAGCAAGGGCAACATGGGGCTGTCCCAAACTCATCTGTTTTGGGCTTTTCAGGAGGGCTTTTCAGGAGCTCTCAGCGTTGACCTAACTCCCCCACTGAAGTCAAGGGGAGTTTTACACTGACCTCCATAAGAGCACGGTCAGGCCAACATCGGGCGCTTTTGAATACTCACTCGTTAAAGGCAATGCCACTGCAAACAGACAGCCACCCCAAACCCCCAGGTTACACACACTGTTACCACACACCCCAACACGCTGCACAAGCAGAAATTCAGCTCCACTTACCCTATGTGTATGGAGCGCTCAGTGGAAGGGGAAAATAGGCCTATTCGTTTATTCATACTCCAAAGACTACTCTGTTCTGAATTTGGACCAGGGAGATCGCAAAGGCTGCTGAAACAATGGAAGAGCCAGAGACATTGTGGCCGTGGATTCGTCAACACCTTACTACCAAGTTTAAGGTAAGTCTGACTGAAAACCCACAAGTTTTACTATGGACTTTTGACAAAGCTGAGCCACAAGATACAGCCTTGAGTCAGTCTCACAGAGAGGTCCCCTACACTTGTACTAGTTCTGGTCTCTCGGATAAACATGTTCCATTTTAGAGCCATTTGATCAGTTTGGGGTTCTGAGATAAACATGTATTTCGATCAGTTTTGCTGCACAGACCCTCACTGTTTGGGATATGTCCACAGATCACACATTGGTGAGCTTCTCATTTATTTTATGTTACAGAGATCACAGTGGTAATTCAAAGGATGATAGGCTCGTGCTTTTACCCAGCTGGAGCCTCTCAGCACAGGTAGACACTTGCATTAGTGGAGCTTGAGCTAGTGGCAGTCTAGATGTTGCAGCTCTGGCAAAGACTAGGGCTAGCCACCTGAGTTCAGACCCTGGGGGGTCAAGCCCGAGTTGCCACAAGGTCCACACCACTATTTTGAGTGTACTAGCTTGAGCCGAGCAAGCGCAAGTCTGTCTACCTAGGCTGGGAGGCACAGTCCCAGGTAGAGAGCAGACATACCCCTCCTGGGGGACAAAAGAGATGGCCAAATCTCCACAAGGATTCCACAGGCATGTTAGTGAGCAATGAAAACCAGGCCATCTGCTCGACAATATTGCCCAACCAGTTATACTGAACTAGCAACCAGGCATGTGAGGGTGGCCAGCAATGTTCCCTCTAATGTTTGACAGGCCGTGTGCACAAAAAATTTCTTCTGTGCAAATTGTTGTGCTTCTGTGCACGCGGTGTTTTGCCGTGCACGTGTGGTTTAGGATCTGCGTGCGCACGCACACAGATTAGAGGGAACAGTGGTGGCCAGATATTCCAGGGCAGATAGTTTAGCTCCTCAAGATGTGTCTATATTACAGTATACATATATGTGCTCAGTAACTACAGGGGCAAGAGAAACCCCCACTTCCAAAAGCACCCCATGCTTGAACTGGTGAAAGCATCATCTGATTTGGCTAGAGAGGGCAGAACCAGGCAGTCCTCTTTTTAGGTAGATGACGGGGAATGAGGCTGTTTTTGAAACCTAGCATTGCAATAACTGAACAAGTGTGCCAGGGCTGATGGGAAAGGTGGGGAAAAGGGGATTATTTAAAGAAAAAATTAACAAGTGAAACAAGATCTATATCCAACATCAACTAGTTCCATTTTCCAAGCATATTGTATCCCCTTGTCTTTTAGACTGTAAGCTCTTAGCAAGTGTCTTGTCTTAAACATATCTGTAGTGTCTACTACTTGGAGCCCTGAATAAATAGTGATGTAACTCTTACATAGAACAGGCTTGATTTAAAAATACCCACTTAAAAAAAATCACCTACTACAAAGCAAGCAAGCTCTACACGTGTGTATGAGAATGCAAAGTATGTTCTTAAGGGAAACTCTATATCCCTTGTAAGCCCATGCTTTGCGTTTGCCCTCAAATTGCTCCCAGATAGTACACAGGATCACATTAAATATATATATCATGATACAGTTTAGAGTAGACAAACCGTAGTAGGAGTGATGAATCTACACCCACAGTATTTGAAATTAGGGCTGTAGATTAATCGCAGTTAACTTATGCGATTAACTCAAAAAAATGAATCACGATTAAAAAATATGAATCATGATTAATCGCAGTTTGCGATTACATCAACAAATGCATTGTTAAACAATAGAATACCAATTGAAATTATTAAATATTTTTGGATGTTTTTCTACATTTTCAAATATATTGATTTCAATTACAACACAGAATACAAAGTGTACACTGCCCCCTTTTTTATGATTTTTATTATAAATATTTGCACTGTAAAAATGATAAAAGAAACAGTATTTTTCAATTCACCGCATACAAGTGCTGTAGTGTAATCTCTTTACCGTGAAAGTGAAACTTACAAATGTATATTATTTTTGTTACATATCCGCACTCAAAAACAAAACAATCAAAACTTTAGAGCCTACAAGTCGACTCAGTCCAATCACTAAGACAACAAGTTTGTTTACATTTACGGGAAATAATGCTGCCCACTTCATATTTACAATGTCACCAGAAAGTGAGAGCAGGTGTTCGCATGGGACTTTTGTAGCTGGCATTGCAAGGTATTTACGTGCCACATATGCTAAACATTCGTAGGCCCCTTCATGCTTCGGCCACCATTCCAGAGGACATGCTTCCATGCTGATGACACTCATTAAAAAAAAATGCGTTAAATTAAATTTGTGACTGAGTTCCTTGGGGGAGAATTGTATGTCTCCGGCTCTATTTTACCTGCATTCTGCCATATATTTCATGTTATAGTTGTCTTAGATGATGACTCAGCACATGTTGTTCATATTAAGAACACTTTCGCTGCAGATTTGACAAAACACAAAGAAGGTACCAATGTGAGATTTCTAAAGATAGCTACAGCGTTTGACCCAAGGTTTAAGAATCTGAAGTGCCTTCCAAAATCTGAAAGGGAAGGGTGTGGAGCATGCTTTCAGAAGTCTTAAAAGAGCAACACTCTGATGCGGAAACTACAGAATCCGAACCACCAAAAAAGAAAATCAACCTTTTGTTAGTAGCATCTGACTCAGATGATGAAAATGAACATGCGTCAGTCTGCACTGCTCTGGATTGTTATCAGGCAAACCCGTCATCAGCATGGACGCATGTCCTCTGGAATGGTGGTTGAAGCATGAAGGGAGATATGAATCTTTAGTGCATCTGGCATGTAAATATCTTGCAACACCAGCTAAAACAGTACCATGAGAACACCTGTTCTCGCTTTCAGGTGACATTGTGAACAAGAAGCAGGCAGCATTATCTCCTGCAAATGTAAACAAACTTGTTTGAGTGATTGGCTGAACAAGAAATAGGACTGAGTGGACTTGTAGGCTCTAAAGTTTTACATTGTTTTATTTTTGATTGCAGTTTTTTTTGTACATAATTCTGCATTTGTAAGTTCAACTTTCATGATAAAGAGACTGCATTACAGTACTTGTTAATTGAAAAATACTATTTCTTTTGTTTTTACAGTGCAAGTATTTGTAATAAAAAATATATAGTGAGCACTGTACATTTTGTTTTCTGTGTTATAACTGAAATCAATATATTTGAAAATGTAGAAAACATCCAAAAATATTTAAATAAATGGTATTCCACTATTGTTTAACAGTGTGATTAATCGCACAATTTATTTAATCGTTGGACAGCCCTAATTTTATCACAAAGGAGTAACATATTAAGCTACACATTTTTAATAAGAAAAACAGGAATGGAACATGAGAACATGGGCACAACATAGATGTTGGAACCTTAATTTTTGTGATCCTGCATTTAATTTATTTGTTGGTCATAGGAGGCTGGAGGAAATCTGACTTCCAGAGCTTTCATGCCCTCCCCCATAAGCTCTTTACTCCAAACCTATTCAAGATCTATTTGCAGGGCTTTCAAGTGTCAACAACAGGGTTTGAAGTTCCTTAAAAGCAAACAGTGCTCACTTAGGAAACATCTACACTACAGCTGAGAGGCTGCTTCCTAGTCCGAGCACAGACACACACTAGCTCAGCTTGAGCTAGCATACTAAAATTAGTAGGGTAGCTGGGGGTAGCATGGGCAGTGACTCAGGCTAGACACCCAAGTACAAACCCACCTGGATCCCCTAGGTACGTACTCAAGTAGCTAGCCTATGTCGCTGCCCATGCTACCCCTGGCTACATGGCTATTTTTAGTGCTCTAGCTTGAGAAGAGCTAGCGTCTGTCTGTCTCTTGTGCTAGAAAGCTTGCTCCCAGCTGCAGTGCAGACCTGCCCTTAGCTAGCTGGGCACACACGGGCAGCAGTGAAGTGCAGACTGACATTTTCTCGAGGCACAATTTTCAAATAGCCATAATTTTGTTAAATCAAGCAGACACCAGCCCTCAGTGAAGACTACATTTTTGCTACTTTTCTCATAGACCTGCTTTTGCCAAGTCTAAAAAGGTGTGATTGGGATTTTTTTAGAACAGGGAACATTTTCTCAAGTGCCTCACTTTCCCATACATCAACAACAGTTGCAGGGATTTTGCTCAAAATCCCCCCTACTATTCTTGTGTGTTTTTTGTATTACCATCCTGCTTATGAGCTTGAGTCACAAACCAGGACCCCTATGTGCTAGGTGCTGTACAAACACAGAACAAAAAGGATGCTCCCTGCCCCAGCGAGCATACAATTGAAGTACTTTAGTTCTTTTCTCCCTTCTCACACATGCACCACTTCTATCTACTACAGCCGGACCATGGAAATGGATTAATGGCTAACTGCTTATTATTAATTTGTATATAGTATCTGATTTATTGTGTCTAGCACATTTTGGACACATACAATATAATTACTATGAATGTATTTACACAGCACATATTTCATATATATATATATATTTCAGATGCATGGCTTGCTTTTGAATATCTAGCCCTTGATGCCAAGTCTCATCTTAAAGTTATAACCTCCTCAAACAGTTGACAACACTGGGCCAAGTTCTTCTGTCAGTTACAAAGATGTAACTTCAGTGAACTTACTTCACAGGGCATCTGCGTCGCACAGCAGACTTGAGCTTGGCCTCTAACAGGCTCTGCAACTAAAACACAAATTTAGAAGACAACTATTCTATTATTAGAGGGTTGAGCGGGGCCATTTTGTCTTCTCTACCAAAAGCACTCCAGCTGGCTTGGCAGCTTCAGCAGCAAAATGGTCATAGAGGGAAAAGAAGTATTTCCTCCATTAGAAACTACCTTTTTAAGGCAGGTCTGAATGGTGACATCTACAAACAGGTGCATGGAAAGGGCGCGGGGGCCGGGGGTTAAGTCTGGATTCCTGGCCAGAAGATGGCAAGGAATCCAGCAGAGTATCTGTTGGCTCCAGGCATTTCAAACAGACTCTGTTAAGAGTCCATAATGACTGCCTATTCATTAACTCCCTTGCAGCCCAGGGGTTTTGATTTACCAAGCAGAAAACACAGCCAAGAGCTGGTGAAGAAACTAAAGCAGCAGGCTCCAAACAAGCTCAGTGCAAGCGTGCGTGCTGAAGTCAGAAGGAACACAGTACTACCCAGGTAAGGGGATTGGGACAGTGAATTAATTGTACTATGAGCCCAGGTCACTGAAAGCTGAATAGGGGCTACTACAAAGATGGCTTTCTATCCCCCTGCAAAGCAGCACTGACTCATTCTGGTCCTGAATTCAGAGAAAGAGTTCTTTCACAACCAGGGAAAAAAGGGAGACACATTTGAGTCTCTCCCCCTACCCTTCCAAAAGAACGGCAGGGTGCTGCGGGTCCTGCCACTGCAGCACCATTACAGAAATGTCAAAGGCCTTCTGTGAGTCAGTTCTTTGTTTCTCAAAGAGAGAAAGAAGTGAAGGCATTATTCTCTTATTAGTCAAACACACACCACTCCTCTTGGTGTTAAGAGTGAAGCATATAATAGTGGCTGGTCATGCCTCCCTCCCTCCCTCCCCTCACAGAGCTTTAGTGACAGGGTTAGGAGGGAGGGGAAGATGTTTGCATGTACATTTAACCCCCTAATACCAACAAACAAGATTTTGCCCTGGAATGCTGTGGCAAAGAACGGAGGAGCTCTGAAGCCATTGGTGTCCTGTTAACAGCCAAAACCTTAATGCTTCAGATGAAGGCAAAACAAATAAAATACAACAACACCCCTACTTTACAAACAAACTGGTAATTGAGTGGTTCACAAAATTGAAGAGTTCATTAAACCAAACATCTCAATTGCAGCAGGTACAGTGCATAAGTTGCAGTATGATGCACTGTACCACTTTCTTCTTCTCCTTCAAGCCACTACAAAAATTTCCAGTGCACTGAAGGAATCAAAGTGTGAAGGAAGGACGACTTGTTCCTCAGAGACATCACTTGTGTTATGTGATTTATTCCCCCGGCTGCGAAGCAGGGTTCGTATAACTAGTGTTCACGAGATTGGTGTTTGTAAAAAAATCGAGGTTCTGCAGTACATAGCTAGTTGTGCAATGATCTACATGGCGGAATAGCCTTCCTTGGCTCCACAAGCAGTTCATTTTTGCCTTGAAGCAGGAGACTTGGTTATACCCATTGTCTCAGACTGCATTGTCACAAGTGTTCTGAAATTATCCAGCCCTTTAAAAATTCAGCCACAGTATTTCTCTCTCTCCCTGCAGCAGAGAGTTCCATAGGTTGACTCTATGACGATTTTTTCTAAATGTAGTCACCTTTCATTTCACTGAGAAACCCCAATTTTGTGTTAAGGGACAGAAAGAAAAGCTAACACTGAAATTTCAGTAACATGATGCAAAATGTTAGTGAAACCGGATCACTGCAGACATGATGATAACGAGGATATTCATCAGAGTTCAGTGCCTGGCCTCTCTTTTCTTTATGCCACTGTTCTTGTCCAGTGAAGAATGTTTCAGCACCTTATCTCAAACTAGAGAGGGAAGATAAAATACCAGGGAAAGGTGCATTTATCTTAGCATAGCTACTACCTGCCTTTGAAAAGATAATGCATCTCCAGTGAGATACACTAGGGAGGAATGCCAGGTCTGCTGAACTAGGGATCCCAACCATTTGGGAGGCGAGGTCCCCTTGAATGGAGCAAACCATCACGACAACTCAGGAATGAATTAATAAAAACCAGTAAGACAAATTGTACAGCTAGTTGCCAATTGCTGGGGAAAAAAATGGGGGAGGGGAGATCTTATGGGTACCACACACAAGCAGAGTGAACAATGTACTGGTAGCAAATAAGCGTCAACACTCCTTTGAGGCCAGTAGGTATTATTGCCCCCAGTATACAGAAGGGTAAATTGAGGCATCAAGAAGTTAAATGACTTGGCCAAGGTCACACAGCAGATACATAGCAGAGCCAAGAAAATAACACACGACTCATGCCCCCGAGCACCACATCCTAACCACAAGATCATCCTTCTTTCCTAAAGGAAATGGCATTGTCATTTCATCCCCTTTATTCCCAGCTTCTTCAAAGAACACAAGAGAACAGTCCATTCCCCATTGGGAGCCAGCAGGAAACTGGACAGCATAAAGAAAGTTAATTGCTTTAACATGCAACCGAACTATTGAAAGGAAATCAATATAACCCCAACCCAGACTACTCCAGCAAAAGCCGTCATTAATCGGAACAAAGAAGAGACCTCGCTGGCAAGAAGATACACAGGAAGTTTCCAACAAGTGTTGGCACCGTGGGCTCCACTCTAGACAGTTAGTACCAGTTGCCAGGCTCTGCTTGTGCTCACTTCTCGCCTCCCTCCCCAGCACACATGTAATACGAAACCTCACATCTCCAGAACGACCAACAACAAAAAAAAAAGAGCTCAGGCAGAGACAGCAGCTGGCTGTCAGCAGCAGAGTGGAGAGGGGCCAAGCGAGGAAAGAACCCCAAGCCAGAGAGGGGCAGGATGGGGGGAGAGAGACGTGAAGTTTAAGAAGACAGAAAAACAACAACAGGCGGAGGAGGACAGTCCTGCGGCACTGTTGGGGTAAGGCTGGGTTGGTGCCTGGGTTCATTCCACCGTAGCATCTCAATAGCAGGAGGGTTCAGCTAGTCAGCAGTAGCTCAAGCTTTTGTAGCTGTTTGCATGGCAAATTGTGCTCAGCCATTGAACAGGGTTTGCTAGCCTGAATTTGGTTGCAAAGGACACTGGGGGGAGGATGGTGAGAGCCAAAAGCTTTGAGGAGTCAGGAAAGCTGTGCTACAACAGAGTGTACCGAAAGCAGCTACTGCTCACTTTTATCACATACATTGTCAATAACAGTTTGAAGCAGAAGGGAGTAACTTTTAGCTGATTCGCGAGCATTTAAAGGGCTGTATCCTGTGTTCACTTCTTCAGTGGAGTTACAGGGAGTGCACGTCAGTGCAGAACTTGGCCCTTCCTATGAGCAGGATCTGCCACAGGGCATTCTTCGCACATGTGTTTTCATGTGTGAGTACTTAGTTTAGCCAGCAGCTTTGGTGACTCCCTGCTCAGTGGGAGCTACCAACTTTGGCAAGTGTATGTCAAACCACAGCAGAGAATTCTACCTAGAAGAGCTCTCAGCTGGTGCTGAGTTTTATCCCCTGAACCCTGAAGTAAGCAGAATGCTCAGAAAACAAAACCCATTCAGAGAAACCAGCTTACTGTGCAAATTAATATAAACGTCTGGGCCCAGTGGAAATAAAGGGGAAGCTTTTACACAGCTTCCAAATGGAGATCTGCAATGGTAGCAGGAGCAGATTCTGGTCTGCTGTCCAAAACAGCACCAGAAACCCACAGCTCTGGCAGAGAACACCAGGTCTCTCAGCCCATGTCTTACTTAACATGAGGCTGTGGGGTCTGAGCACATTTTGATCAACAAGGGAGGGAAATGAAACAGAGGAGAAAGAGTCCCAAACGCACAAGAATAACCTCGAGCCAGCCTTGCTTCTAGCTACCAAAGTGCCCTCCCACCCCTTTCCTTCACTCACCATTTGTCACTGCCAAAGATGTAACCCCATGAACCCCTCTGTTTTCCCCATCTGAAGCCAATTATTTCTCAATGCTGTTTGGAAGATTTTGTAACCCTTTGCATTGAGCTAACAACTGGTGCGTTCTCCAGAGAGAGCTCAAAGTTCAGCTGTTTACAAACAGGCAGCAAGAGAGACAGAAAGCCAGTTCTCCCCATATGTTGCACAGATATAGGAATGTGAAGGATCAAGTACTTTCAGCCTCTCCTTCTATTTCCCTTTGGATCCTGCTTATTTGGAAAGGGTGGTGCATCTTACCACTCGCCTGTCACGCAAAGAATACAGCAGAACCACTTGGGTAATAGCACAGTAATTACTGGGCCCTCCTCCTCTCCCAACTAGTCTGAATTCCAGAGACTCATTAGCGGTTCCTTGAAGGGTCTGTGGTTTACATTTGTTTTTAAACATTACAGTTCAGATGGCTTCCAAACAGAAAGAAGAAGAAAAAAAGCAAAAGAAAAACAAGGACAAAAGTGGGAGAGAGAGAAACAGGCCAAATTTTCCTTGCAGTGAAAATCCTAAAGGGTTACGACTGGGGGCTTATCCAGCAGCAGAGGAGGAAAAATAAGCAATACGAAACGTGTGTCTGGAAGTAGGAAGGCAGAGGCATGGTTTACGTTACTGCTGTCACGTAGCACAGAGGCCTCTTAGCCTGTATCAAACATGACAGATCTATAGAAAGGCCTTTGCTGGAGGCCAAGTGTACAATGGGTTAGTACACTAGCCATTCACCTTAGAAAGCAGAGGCTTAAATCTAAGCAAGTGGGAGGGGGAAAAAAAAGTGATAAAACAATTGATTTTAGTCTGCAACACAAACCCACCACAACTGAGAGTTTGCTCAGGACAGTCGCAGGACTGGAATAGCCAGGGGAGCTGCTAGTCAAAACTGAGGTGTGCTAAGAGTGCCAAGGAAGGGCAGCTCTTGCCCATGCCCTTACTTGACACAAACTAGTACAATCGTTCCTCCCACACCATCAATTTCATAAGCTTCACACTTCACCCATCATTTAAATTGCTTCTTTCAAGAGATCAGATGTAGGTGCTTCAACTTCCTGGATTTTCCAGGTCCCTACAGCCAGCATGGCATTCTGGTTAGGAGTAAATGGCACATTTCAAAACCCAAGCTGGATTCATTCAATTTCTGAGTTCTGGACAGCGCTGTGCAAATAAGGACCCAGGTGTAATGGAAAGCAGTTAGAGAATGTGTTCCCAATATTGTGATGAGGCATATGGCACTGAGATTGGCAGAAAACCTGTGTTTCCTGAAGTGGCTATTTACTGGGCTTTCATAGACCTGGACACACACTCAAACATGGTACATCTCATTCTGTCAGCTGTCCTTGAAAATAGCTGTTCTAATTACTCCTCAGTCTACTACAGAGCTGAGACCCAAGCAGCAGTAACTACAGAACATCAGAGACCCCACTTGTTATTCGCAGATTTATTTTTAATACAGCTTGTCCTTTCAGCAGGCAAGTCACAATCCCTGTGCCTCAGTTTCTCCCATCTGTAAGACAGGAGTAATAATAATGACCTCTCTCAAGGCGCTTCATTCATTTACGATTCTCAGATGGGATGTGCTAGAGAAGGGTAGAGGATTCTTAAGAGCTTTATAGAAGTTCCCGATTCAGCGGTCTCAATATCAATTTCAGACTCTTGATTGATATTTCAGGGAGTTCAATGCCTTCCCATGATCCTGTCTCACATTAGTTAAATATGAGATGGTTTGGGCAGGACTGGGGCATCTTTACTGCTGGGAAACCTGGCTCCACTAAGTGGACAAACTAGACTGCAGGCTATCTTGACTATTTGGGTACCCAATCAATTCTATTTTATAATCTGGAGGGGAGGGCTTCAGATTTTTCAACCTTGGCTGACAAGGTCAAAGCTCTTCTCCCATGAAATTGAACCACAATTTACCAGCTTGTGCACATGTGGGCAAAGTCTGAATTCTCTAGAGCTGGGAACTATTTTTTCCTGCCAGTGAATGAACTATTGGCCTCACTGGTTCTGACCTCTCCTGTTATGGACACAAGACTTGCTTGTGGGCTGTTGTGAAGATCATGCGGTTGGTCAACTACATCCATGCCAGCAAAAGCTGCAGTAACAATGCAATATCGCGGGTGGATTTCCCCTATTTCTATAATCCCTTTAATCTTAAAGCATGTTGCAGATTTAAACTAATACATAAATCATATACAGGGATTATTTCATCTCCTGCCAAAATGCAGCTACTATTTAACAATGCACGGCAACATGACGATAGTTTAGGAACGGAAGTGGAGAAGATCTTATCCATTTGAAGCCAGAGCAGTAATTCAGTAGAGTACGAAGGAGTTACCACACTTAGAGTTAATCCACGACACCACAGCTGAACACCTACTCTTGAGAAAGCGATCACTAGTCAGAACCTTCGTTTTAAGCCTCACTGGGAGGGCAGCCCCTTCAGCAGTATAGCACCTCTTTTCACCATGCTGGGGTGGACTTGGCAGATTCCCTGCCAAGCAACCAACTCTACCTTCCTACAGCTCCTACGCATTCCAGGGGCGTTTACCATTCCAGTATTGGACCAAACTCACCCTGCTTATCTTGTGTGACTTGATGGGGACAGATCATAGCACACAATGTTTGCGTTAATGGCTGCAGACAAGAAGTCTGAGAAAACATCTTAAAGAAAACATTAAAATGGAGTCAGAGATAAGTGTGTGACAACAGACAAACTCCTTGCTTGGGAGCATCAGGTAGTCCCCCGGAGCCCGCCATGCTGCACCCCAGGCCCCTCTTGTTGAGTTGTGAGGTCTCAAATGGCTGCCACTGTGGGATCGGAGGTGAAGAGGATGCCGGTCTTCGGGCAGAATCAAAGATCAACATGACTAGGAAGTGCTGCATTAGAACTACGTGTGCTAACAACAGACTCCCCAAAACTTCATCTCAGGGTTCAGAAAGCAGCAACAACAAAAGCCTAGAAAGGTTTGCTTGCAAGAGGACATTGAAGCTATTTAGTTAGAAGGATTTTGACAAGAGAAATAAAAATAGCTAGCGCTGTGTAAACATGTGGCTAGGCAATGACAGGGAGTGGGCGTAAATAAGCTTACTTTCATCCTAAACAGTGGTACAGCGACTGCACACTTATGAAGTATATGTAGTTCAAAGGTTATTTCATTTTGTTTCATTACTGCAAAAACAGCGGAATAAAATAATAGTGATACACCTTCCATAGCACTTTCCATCCAAAGAGCTCAAAGCCCTTTAGAAGCATTTGTGTTAAACATTGTCCCATTTTACAGATATGGAAACTGACGAACATAGTACTTACGTGACTTACCCAAAAATATGTAGTGAATCAGTGGCAGAACTAGCCTGAACCCATGTTTCATGACTTCTAGTCCTGTGCCCTAACCACAAGATCATCTCCTCTCTTTCTCTCTTCCTCACTATGCAAACATACATTACTGAAACAGCACCAGCATTATGACTAACCCATGGCTTAGTCCTCAACAATAAGTTTAGCCTCACCTGCCCTCCCACCCTCCAACACACCTACTTCTCCATGCAGAGGATGAAAGCACAGAAGAGGAGTGTATCTTGTTAAAGGGAAGGGTGTTTAAACTGTATACATTCCACAAATAAATTATTCGTTCATGGAGACCAAACCAGTTTAAGCCAGATACCAGAATCTGGGCCCTATGGAAAGTCGACTACATTATGCAGCCTTCATGCTTGGTCAAGGTCCAGCAGTGCGCTATAGCCAACTTACAAAGGACGTCAAAGATGTGACACAGACCGCTTGTTCTCAGTCCCAAAAGGCTCTAGCCAAAACATTCAACCTGAGGTGCCTAAAGTTAAGCACCTAAATAAATGTTCTTATTCTCAGAAATGCCGAATAGCCAGAATTACCAATCAAATCAATAAGAGCTGCAGGTGCTCATCAGCTGAAACTCAGGCCACTTACTTAGGTACCATATGACTGTAGTCTATTAAAGCAAGTTGGAAAGA